GGAATCTTGGGCATCCACGACCTAGGTTTAATCTGCCCAAGCGACTGCTGCAGTGGCTGCATGGCCTCTGAGGCAGGTTGCTGCATGCTAACCTGGGCCTGTCCTGACGATGGGACTGTAGTTACCACCGTCATGGATGGCACAGAAGAAGCTCTAAGGACCGAACCACTAACTACTGGTTGTAGGCCTAAAAGAGGCATGCCATACATAGGCGAGAAGGTTTGCCCTATCGGCGACGGCGTCACTGAAGGACCTGCAACCGAAGGGGGAACTACAGAGAATTGGGGTTGCCTTATGACTGGACGAGGTCCCTAAAGTGCAGCCATAATTCGTTTCTGGCCTGCCACTAGTTCATCCAACAGTTCCTGCTGAACTACCTACGTTTCTGCCACATAAAGTAGCGAGTTATGCAACGCTCGATCAACAGGATTTAATGTAGACTCATCTGGTTCTTCTAACCTTCTTAGTTCCTGAAGCCTAGCGCCTAACCAGACTTTTCTCAATCTTACCCTTTCTCTCCTCTCTTCTACTTCTCTCAGTTGCCGCTGCAACTCATCATGAAGACCTTCCGCTTGGAGGATCTCATAATCCTCTAGCGTGAGTGGGGATTGTTGGCTGACTTGTGAGCCAACAGGATGACTTATGGAGCCTTGGGTACTCTGACTGATTCCTGACGAAGAGGCCTGGGAAGAGGCATGTGACATGGTAGAGGAGGTAGCCATGGTCACACTTGTGCTAGCCATATTCCTAGCCCTGGCGCTGGCCTCAGCGTCTCTCGTCCTCCACAATGCCGCCCTCTCCCTAGCTTCTCTCCGCAGCCTCCTTTCCTCTCCTGGACCTATCTCTAGGAAGGTCAAAGGCTGACTAAGAGCAGCTCTACGAGTAACCCTAAGATCCTCGACTAACTCCTCCTCCTCGCTACTAGCAGCTTCACTCATGAGCTACGGTGTGTGTGATCTAAACTAGATCACACATTGAATCCTACCTCAGCATGACACACAACCGGGTATGAACAATCAACTAATTCCGGTCAGCCTAGAGAGAAGTAGTCAAGTGGTAACCAGCAATCAATGTCGGGTCCTACAGGTAAGTTCAATTCTATTTTTAGATTACTCTTACACAGAATGCAATGCAGCAAGGAAGGAACTAACCTATCTGCAACGGTCTGTCAGTTGTTAACAAGTCCGTACAACTAAGTAATCAAAAATAAAAATAATTACCTGCGGAGATGCATGTTGCATGGCATTTCATCTAATTAGTGCCACTGTGAACCATTACCGGAATCCCCCCTGTCTCCCTGTATCCTTCTTGAGTTGTCACTTTGTGTCAACGCCCTAAGCATCTGGTTGAGCGGCGTGTCTGAAGGTATGCAATCCGGCCCACCCCTGTGCCCCAAGTCTATGTCGAACCTGCCAGCCCCTGCACTTTATTTACCCTCGCATGCAACGAGAGGCAGTTTAAGGACAGCCCCCAAGGTCCTCAGGAATTATTTAACGTCGCTGATAGGACGACGATCACAGCCAGAGTCAACAACGAGTCCCGCCAGAAATATTTATAGACGGTCTGGTAAGCATCTGTTCAAAGGGCTGTCATCCCCTGCATGACCTCTATTGCGCAGCAGCAGAACCAAGGACTTGCGGCAAAGCATGCGTGTACTAGTCCCAGCGGGTTGGCATGGTGACCGTGACCCGAGTGCTTCGTCTAGGGCCCTTCAGAGGCTTCGCCCGTCTCCCACCAGCTTGCTGCCCAGGAAGAACATCGACTCTCAAGGTTGAGCGCTCGGGACACCTCACATTGAGAGGACTCTCAAGACAGAACTCACTTCCTCACGGTAAGAAGTAATGAAGAGGATAGATAAGGAAGAGAGCAACATACCTCATAATGCTGCCCCCAACCACAGATTTCTCACCGGCAACCTGATGTGCATTTATGATGACCGGTCTTTGCCTCGACACAACCAACAACAGAATGCAGTTCCACCTCGGCTTAAATGCCACATCAGCGAGTTCTCATCATCCAGCGTACACCCCTAGTGTCACCACATAGCTTCCTGGCGCGCCCACACGACTTTGGGCCGCCTATCACTCAACGTCCAAGCCTTATTACTGCCCCACACCTCATGCGAAGCACCAAACAGCTATTGCGAAGAGTCAATGAAGCGCAGTTCGAACCAGCTCCGATACCAAATTGCAAGGAAAATGAGCAATGGCGAGATGACAATGTCCACAATGCACAATCACATTGAAGGCCAGATAGTATCACAATGTCCAGAAAGCAGAAATGCACCAATATAACACCAATGAAGAATCGTAACACTAAAACCAGTGTCAATGAGAGCCTGCTCTCACCACCACCAACATGTGTTCAGGCCCTATCTGCCTACTTGGTGCTCGGCGCCCAGCCTACTTCCTACACAGCTACAGTCTGCCTACTAACTGGCAATGCAACTGTTGACATCAGCAGCCCAAGAAGTACTTGAAGATGTCGCCCAATGCAGACCATCGCCAATACCACGTATGTGCCCTCACATCATCATCATCATCATCCTTCTCTCTCTCCCCTGACTTACTCCCACGTCTTCCCTCTATACACCCGAAGACCACCCCTGCACCTCACTGTAGTCCAAGCCCATCCAGCTATGGAGGCTGGGCTATGGCGCTGCCCTCAGCAGCGCCCTGCTCCCTGCACGATCGCATGTGCTAGCACCTTGCCTCTCAGCGCCAGCAGCAGCCCACGAGCGTCCGCTCCAGCAGCACTGCCGCCAGCATGCAAGTGCTGAATGAGGTTCCAGGCAGCGAGCTCTTCCCTATATGGAAAGAGTCTGCCTGCCTTCGCAGCCTGGCTGGCCTGGGCCTGGGCCCAGAAGCTTCCGGTAGGCCCCAGGATGCTGCACCTCTGTTGCAGCTACTGGGCCTCATTCGGTTGGGCCTCCCAACTGTCTGTGTATGAGCCTGTGATTCTCGTCCAGGGCCTGCATCATTTTGGAAAGGCCTGGAAGGCCGTGGAATGTCTCGCTGCTCGGCCGGTGTTTCCCTCAACCAACTGGCGCGGTGAAACTGCCTGGACCCCAAATACGAACTTGACAGCTTAGGGCCTCTCGTGATTTGTTAGGCCCGCCTTCACTTAGGGCGGGCACATCTGCAGCAAGAGGCCCCTTAGGCTTGCCAAGGACCCAGATCCTCGCACTTAGGCAAAGTGGAGGGTAGAAGTGAGTGTCAGTTCCATGATGAGAAGACTTTGGGGAGGTAAGGTCAGCGTAGGGGTGAAGATTCGGGGTTCGAGAGATTGGCGGGGCATGCTGAAGGATGACGTGAGAGAAGGGGGTCGGAGTAAAGATGATCTAGGGGGTGTCTAGTTTCAAGGGGATGGGGCAGGAGTTGGTGGGTTCAGGTTTTAGGAAATGTGGGGTTGGGGTGAACTTAAGGAACTACGTGTTCCAAAGAGAGGAGGGCCAAGTGAAGGCGGGTTCAGGCGGGTTCAGGCGGGGTTGGGCGGCTGTCTCTTATACACATCTAGATGTGTATAAGAGACAGGGTCTAGGCAGGTTTAGGGTTCAAAGAGGGTCCACAGTGAAGTGCTAAACATGTGTACAGGTACAGCAAACAGAGACCTGGTGTGAAGAGCCCGGAGCTCTAGAGTTTAGCAGAGTAAAATCTGGAGTGAAAACTTTAGGGTTTAGGGTTTAGGGTTTACCTGAGTCATATTTTGAGTTACAAATCAGGGTTCAGGGTTTACCCCGAATCCTAACTGCAAATAAAAACCCTAAACCTCGGCCACTTCACTTCTAGGGTTCAGGGTTTAGCAGAGGGAATGATAAGCAGTGAAGAGCTTATGATTGACAATTTTGCGGAGGAAGTTCAGGTTGAGGGTTTAATAGACAGGAATTCGAAGTGAAGAGAGGGGGGTTAAGGGTTCAGCAGAGGGCAGCGGGTTGGAGTGGCATGTAGAGGTTAACCCGGGTTTAATAGACAGGAAAAATCAACCCCGAAGTGAAGAGTCAGAGTTTAGGGTTTAGCAGGGGCGAGGTCCCACTGGCAACAAAGGATTTGATTCAATGCCTGAAATCTGGACATGTTTTGTGGAGAGGTGCAGGAAATCGAGATTGAACTGCTTTTCTGCATCTCTGCATAAAACACATCCAGATTCAGGAGCTTAATCCAATCCTCTTCTTACCCCTAAAAAAAAATACATACGTTGTATACAAATACAACGTACCGGGTACGTTGTATTCGAATACAATGTACGGACATTGTGCAACAAATTTTGTACAACTTTTCCAGGGTGGCCCTTTACGGGGTACGTTGTATCGAATATAACATACGTACGCTGTGTTTGAATTTTAAGTTATGAGAGGGCGGCCCTGGAATATATGAGAAGACCCCAGCCTAATCTCTTTGAATGGAAATATATGTTTATTTGGGGGGGGGGGTGGGTGGGGGGGGGAGGGAACTGAGACCTGAATGTTCTACTCTGTCCCCCCCCTCCCCCTCAAATTTGGTAGCAAATTTCAACAATACTCTCAGGCAGAAGATGTTTGTATTGCACTGTTCTTCGACATTTTTTTGTTTCTGGATTTTTTTGAACGTTTTTAAAAAAGTGAAAAATGTCTCAAATGCCACAGGCTTCGAATACAAGGTACGTATGTTGTATTCGGATATAACGTACGTACGTTGTATTTGACAGTACGTTCTATTCGGCAAAAAAAAGAGCGATTTCTAACAGTCCGTTTTTTTAAGGTAATTCGGATAGATCCTACGTTCGTTTTTTGGGGGGTAAGAAGGTAGTGGACCTTGCCCCAGAGGACGACAACTTGGGTGTAGAACGTAATAGGGTAGCAAGGAAGGGGCAGCATAATGGAAAGGAAAGCAACTCGAGATTAACCATGCTTCCTCCTGGGTGTTTAGTGCCACACATAACTACAAGACAGTGGTCACTAACTAAGTAGCAGTGTAGCACTAATAAAGAGAAGGATTATGGGAGTTCACGACTGAAGAACTTACCGAGAAAGCAGAATTGTGCAACAATAATTGAGAAAAGGAGGATGCCGGTGAGTGTCGCCGTCGCAGAGCGCGCCATCTGTCGCGAAGGTCGCCCAGTAGCAGACCGCCACGTGGACATCTGTGAAGCCTCGGGGCCAACTGATCGAGAAAACTTCCTTTCTCGTTCATTGGTTCTCCGTGCCACGAGTGACGTAATGCACAGACAAAGGTTCAGCGCATCCCCCGTGTCCTCTCTGCCCCAAGACTACCACCTCACCCTCCTCTTCCTCGAACCCCTCCTCACCTGCGTCTGCTGCTACGCTTCCTCCTCCTGCGGCTGCTGCTACCCTTCTACCTCTTCTGAGTCGTGGGATACCCCCCCACAATCCCGCCCTCTCGAAACAGATGCTGGTGCCGTTTGCCCTCACACTACCGGTAGCAGAGCGCCGCCAGTGTGAACGGATGGTGAGCAGCAGCCACAGTGAGGGTTCATTCTGTCAGCCTGAGCGGTCACGTGACGTGCCCGGATGGGTTTGTCGTCCGTTCTGCCACGTGTCACTCGTCCGTGCCCTTCATCCTCGTGACATCCCGCAGCCCGCTCTCGAACCATCTCTTCTCTTGAAATGATGAATTGAAACCCAACCAGTCTAATTAAACAAGCATTTCCGAAACGACGGCGCGAGCGCCTATGGCTACCTTCGAATCACCCTAGCTCCATTTGGGCGGGAACACGTAACTCCATTTTGGCGGGAAATAGATGTAATCAACCCACAACAAGTGTGTAGAATAATTTGGCGGGAATTCCGCCTGTCTGTCCTTCCTCGTAAGTGCACCTTCCCAACTGGGATTTGAATGGCGCAGCCCAGACTCAGCTCTGGCCGACGGACACCCAATCGTCTGCTACGCGCCGTTTCTGATAATGATAGCACTGGTGATAATCGCACAAACGAAGGTACACACTCCGCTCCCACTCCTTGGCGCATACAGTTGACTCCCGGGACTTGGAGGCTAAGGAACAAAGACAAAGCCACGTGCGTTATACGTCGACGAAGAGTTAAAAGAGTTCCCTAGTAAAGCCTCTCCTTCCTTAACGAAGAGCTCTCTCCTTAACGAAGAGCTCTATTTGCCGCCATGACTTATTGATTGATTAATGCCCTCTGCCATCTTGGGAGTGCCGATGATGATCCGTAGATCCGTACAGCCTCTTCCTCTCTACCTCTCTCAGATCCTTCGTCTCCCGCTATTGCCTTAGGCGATGAATCCCGTCGTTGTCGATCGATGTCCGACAATTCGTTTGGTTTATAGATTGCACGTCTCGCCGCCTTGAATGGATGGATTTGGCGGCGTCCATTCTTTCTCTGTAATTATGCATCTTCGGCATCATACATAAATACATACACCAAGGCTTGATGAGCGGGTATCAGGCCAAGACGATGTGGATCTCTAATACCAGACAGCCCCGTGCCACGTGGCTTTCAAAAGCGCGTTGCTGGCGGGAAAAACCTTTGTCGTCCACGGATATTACCGATACCAGACGTGGCGCGCGATCGATCAGCTATTGCTACTGCGCGCCAAATTGAGCTCCTCGCTGCCTCGGATGATAGATAGATTTGCCGGCCGTCTTTTCCTGTAATTAAACATTAAACATCATCACCACATCGATCGTTAGTGGGTGCCACGTCGGTTAGTGGGTGCCACGTCGTTTTCCGGTCCTTTCTCCAGAAGCTGTTTTCACAAACAGCCTCCGTTGTGACTGGATATGATTACCCACTGACGTGGCCCTAGCTGGCTGATTAGCTATTGCTCGCCCTTGATTACCCATCGATCGACCAGTTAATCAAAACCCCATCAAAACCCCTCTTGCGTCTGCCTGTAATCCGTTCATTCTTGACCGCTATAATACTGTACCAAGATAGAAGATTGGATTGATTCGATTGATTCCATTGATTGCATTGTTTGGACTCTCACCGGGCATGCCTTCCTCTCTGATCGCGGCTCACTCCCTTGCTGTTTTTTTCTCTGTTGACGTCATCAGTCAACACACAAGCCCGCCTCCTTTGACCGATCGCAGCTGCAGGCGGATCACTCGTGGGGAAGCCGAGCGCGTTGCGCCCCGGAGTATCACGTGCGCTTTGCTCGCCCGCCCGCGCTGCCCATGCCGTCTCTTCGAGAGCGCAAGAGTCGCGGCGGGAGGGGGAAGGAACGCACAAGACAAGAGACCTCCTGCTGCCTTTCCTAAAATGCCCGTACGCGTTTCGGACTCGTGCGCAAGAGTCGCGGCGGGAGGGAACGCACATGAGAGCTCCCCCTGGCTTTCCTAAAATGCCCGTGCTTATAGCCGCGGAATCTATCATTGAAGATATAGCTTCGGCTGGCTTTGCTACAATGCGCGAGGCACGCGCGATTTGAACGCTGGATCTGTCGACTGGACAAGAGAGTCGCGGGACAGAACACAGAAGAAAGCTTCGCGCCTTAGGACGAGGAATATTGACAATAAGGAGACCAGGTACGAGGAATATCCAGCGACGATCAGTGACGGTCCTGTAGAAAAGGATAGAAAAAAAAAAAGAAGAAGAAGAAGAAGAAGAAGAAGAAGAAAACAGATCGGTTTTCTTTTCTTCCGAAGCATCAGAGATTCATATGTAAACGACAAACAACAAAAGACAAAAGAGCAATTGAAATGAAAAAACGTCATTCAAAAAAAAAAAAAAAAAAAAAAAAAAGAAAGAAGAGCATCATCACAGACGCAGCACATCATGCCTGTGCCTGTGCATGTTTGTCACATCAAACCTATAATCATGCAAATACTAACCTGTTTTTGGCGGGTTGCGATCACGCGGGAAAAACCGGCATGGTAGTTTCTTGAGGGTCATCCAAGCGACGGCTGGTCCAAGCTGCGCGCCGATTCCAAGCTTGGTATGACTGGCCCAGGCTGGGGTGGGCCCAACCTGGGGCTGGGTCCCAGCTTAGATGGGAGAGCACCCTGACAAGCGCGCCAAGGCGGGAAAATCTGGCATGGATGAAACCTGACAGGCGCGATGCTGCGGGAAGATCTCGAATTATGGACGGAGGAGTGTTTCACCGGCCAGAAATCAGGTTTTACCGCGGGAAAATCAGGTTTCCACCATGCCAGATCATAGCGTCAGGTCTTAGTTGGACCGAGCTCGGCTGCCTATTAGCATCGTCATAGCGTAATTCGTTAACCACAGATTAATTTTCTATAAAAAAATGTGTTAAATATATACTTAGCAAGTTAACAACCTGCCAGATTCAAGTTTCCTATATCTTTCTTTTTTCCTTTTTTCCTTTTTTTCTTTTTTTCTTTTTTTTTCTCTCCACGGAGGGGGAGGATAGCTGTGCGTCCTTCGGGATATCCGTTAAAATTGGAACGATACAGAGAAGACTAATTAGCATGGCCACTGCGCAAGGGTGACACGCATAAATCGAGAAATGGTCCAAATTTTTCCGGAAAAAAAAAAAAAAGGATGGCTGTGCCGCGCTCTGCCGCAGTCTCAATACAGAAGCAACGTTGGAGGGGTCGAGCAAGCAAGCTTTTACCCCTATGACCCCCCCTCCGTACCCCAGAAAAATTCATTTACTTTTCTAATATCATTGTAGCCCTATGGCCCACTAGGATCAGATATTACTGTAGTAAATTGTTCAGAACAGATGCGCTGCACTTGATCTTGCTGTACTTACCCAAAAATGGCAAAAGGCCGAGATAGGTATAGCTGCATATATCTTTGAATGAAGAGATATGTTATTGTTTTTTTTGTAAGAAGCTACCTAGTCGTCCCATGTTCCGCATTCTTATTAATTATTCAGACATTTTGCAGTGAATCACATACAACCTGCACTCAAACATAAATAAGCAATAACAGGGAAGAGCAAATCACTCGTTTAAAGAGCTGACAGCAAAAGCCAGTGCATGATGATCGACGAACGACACGCTAACCTACGATTGGTCGACTGACCAATCTAGAAAAAGAGTGATATATAGTGTATTTTTTGGCTGTGACAGACCTTTCTTTGTTTCGTGGATGTTTTGCTGGCTTGTGATGGGGTGTGAACCGACAGTCTGTAGAGTTTTCCNTTGTCACAGCCCCTCGTTTGTTGTCCTCTTCTCCCTCTCTGCCTACGATTTACCGGGCAGTTCTATTTGACGATATATATATATATATATATATATCGTCATATATAGATATATATTAGGGTTCAGCCTCCTGATGAGTCGGTGAAACTCCGACGAAACAGTTTGTCACAGCCCCTCGTTTGTTGTCCTCTTCTCTCTCTCTGCCTACGGTTTACCGGGCAGTTCTGTTTGTGACGATATATATATCGGGCGCACAAATAAGGTTAGATGATGCGCTGATTGGGCAAAACATAACTGCCGCTGAACATCATAGGATGATCGACCAATCAACGAAGGTTGTTATGACATTGATTGATTGATTGATGTACGAACGACATGCTTGCTAAACATAGGTGACTGATTGGTTGATTGGTTGGCTGACCAATTAGTGAAAAAAAAAGAGGAGTGATTGGGCGCACAACTAAGGTTAGATGCGCTTATTGGGCAAAACATAACTGCCGCCGTTTAGACATGGTGACTGGACGAAGAGAGGAATTACAGTAGTTAAGGTTAAATAGACGAGGTGCTTCCGGGAATGAGGAGGACACCTGAAAGTGCTCATCATGGCAGAGGTTGCCGTTCAGATGGATGTATTCAGTCGTACTTATGACTGAATACATGGGCTGAGGCGGTCGCTTGGGAGGGAAAGGAAGGACGACGCTATATTATGGCAGCAATCGCGGGGGTCTTTTCCTTAAAAAGGCCCTCACTCACAACGGGGCCGTACAGCGCGCCACGACGTTCACCTGTTTTCTTAGCATCACTCCCTGTCTGTGCACATGACAGACGGATCGAGCGATTAGAATGTCATCAATCAATGGCTCGCTAATGAATGGAACCCTCGACCCTTGAATTGGTAGTGCGCTCGCTCCGTACTTGTATTAAAATTAAAAATAAAAACAAAAATTGAAAACGAAAAAGATTACGAACAAAAAGGCCACTGGCAGCAGGACTGGCGGTCGATCCCCCAGTCAATCAATCAATCAATCGATCGATCAATCAATCAATCACTCAAATCGATCAAATCGATCGATCAATCAATCAATCAAACAAACAAATAATCAAT